AAACCTGATTCTTGGCGAGGTTGTTTATATAGCAATCATCTATCATATCCTAGATTCTTGAATTTATTTATTGAATGGTTACGATTTTTAGTTTTGATCTCATGACTGGTGAAAACCAAGAATTGCTCAGATAGTCGAAAATTAATTTTTCACCCTGCTTTCAAGATTAACTTCTTCATGAGCTTCTCTAACTTCATTCGACAACAAGAGGCCGAACAGGTGCACGACAACGGACTAGTTAAAGAATGGTCATATAAACCACCAAATACTGATACCCGCTCCTGAGACGTTGTTGCATCGGGTGCTAACAATAATTGAAAGTAAATTGGGTTACAAATTAATACTCACCAATGTTTTACTTTTCCTGATAAAGCACAAGGTTTCACAACACCGCCTGTAATGGTGAGTGATGGAACAAGGCTTTATTGGACTTGTTTTATCTTCCAACTCAAATACATTTTTCGATTGGTGGAGAACGTGTCACGTGCTATGGGTCAGAACACACTAAATCCCTGGGGTGATCTAAGCCCACTGACTCCCTTGAAAAACAACAATTTGAACATTAGACTCGCACGTGATCAGGTCCGTGGACCTTGAAACCTCGCAAATTTCACAGGGAGCCCTCACGTCTGATAAGCAGAATGAAGATTTACTTATCTTACTAGTGTCGTCTGTTGTCGATGGCGGCCATTTTGAAAACGATTAGCGTGAGAGATCTGGAACGAGTTGCGAGGGGTCTGACAACGACAAATTGTCGAAACCGTTCGGATATGTAATTTTAGAGTGGAAAAACGTATTAAGCATGCCCGAGTTTTGACTGTGCGCTAGGCATTCTCGTTCCCAGAGGCCGCGCTCCTTCTGTCAACACCAAGAATCGCGACCTCTGGGAAGGTCCGATTTTCTGAGCACGCGCAGAGTAATCGTTTCGTTTTCTCAGCCCGTCAGATTTGTCAAACTCGACTCTGTGCATGCGCAGAGTGACGGGAAGTCCGTGAATCGCAGACTTCCTGTGTTGGACCTTCCCAGAGGTCGTGATTGTTGGAGCTGACCAAAAAGGAGCGCTGCCGCTGGGGACGAGAATGTGCGCCAGGCTCTAAGTTTGAAAAAATAGCGGGAATTTCGTTGATCGTGTCAATAAAAAAAGTTACGAACTTTATACATTTTCCCAATATTCCCGATAGGCAGCAACATTTTAAAATCACTAATGAAAACCTGGTGTATTGTTTTCGTGGGAAATCAATTTTTTTTCAGACAAACCCTTTCTTTTCTCGTAGAATACAAGAAATTTTGTTGCGAGGACACATTTTATCCACAACTCTTTACATATTGCATCCATATAAGCAACCCACTGAATATATAAACAAGAGAACCTCTCAGCAGGCAGGGAGCCTTGTTTTCTTAACGGTAAAATGCCGAATCAAATTCGTGCTTGCCCAAGTATAAATAAATTAACCGAGCAACATCCTCACGATCACGCACCTTATAATATCACAGTCCGCCGCTCTTTCCAACCATTGCGAACCGATCATGCGAGCCATTGCAGCTTGCATTATTACCTGAGCCCGCAAGTAAGGCTAGGGATGCGCAGAAAGCTGTGCAGTACGTTTTCCCGCTCTGAAATATGTAACAACACTTTCATCACGGGGGGCTGGAAGCCCTTTCCGTAATGCAGGGCGTCAAAGTTCGCTCGAGTTTTCACAGATGCAAAGAAAACTTTTCCTTAATCAGGTTCACTCGCCGGTTTTTTCACTTGGTTGCTACTTCAATGTTGTGACCCCAAGCTTGGGTGTATCTTCTGTTTATGCGTAGAGGAAAATGTAAAGTAAGATTGTAATGTTTGTAAATGTTTATTTCAATCGTTTATCTTTGTGAAAGTTCTCAATTTCTGTCCGTATGCAAAATGGATGACGTCCATAAAAATGCCATATAAATTATAACCGAGTGTCAACTTATACCTTGTGGGATTTGCTGACAGATTTGTGGGATTTACTGACAGATTCTGTAAATAGAAGATAATAAAGTCGATTGATCTCAAATTAACTTCACTGTTTGGTATGTAGAAAAACAAGCACTGAGTAGAGTGTCTTCTCACTGTGTTCCTTTCGCCAATCTGGAATGAAGAAGAAATTAGTCGGGCGAAATTATACTTTGGGCCTTATTACATGAGTTTTAAAGCTAGCCTTTGACATAATAGCGGAGCTCCGGCGGCCCGAAGTGCCGCCAAGCGAAGCCACCTACCCATATAGGAAAGAAAAGAAAACCCATGAATTGATTTTCTCATGGTTATCATGACTAGCGGTATTGCTCGTGGGCGCATACGCACGACGAACGGCGATGGCGACGGAGTCGCGTAAGATGACGGCCATACTCCAGGTAATAGGTTGACAACCGTGAGACATGTACCGGCTCGGTTTGTAGCGTCGCTCTTTGATATTTGACATCCATGTTATGGTCAATTGACACCTGCCAAAACAAGGTATCCACTGACCGTATCACGTGGCCATATCGCGGGCTAAAGTTTAGAGCTCATCGAGGTC